GGGAGGTGGCCGGGGGCTGTGGGATGCTGCCGGTGCGGGAGGGAGGAGAGTTCCTGGGGGTGAGAGGTGATGTGGGTGCAGCCGGCTCGGTTCTTCCTCTGGGGATATTGGGAATTGGGTTTGCACCGGTTGGATGGGGACATTTTGCCGTGTTGCTTCCTAAATGCCCTGAGAAGGGTGGTGGGCACAGACCCACGCACCCCAGTGCCGACGAGGAGCCCCGTCCGTCTGTCCTGATACCCTCCAACGTGGCCACCGTGCAGGGTGATGCTGCAGATCTATGTCCCGGCTGGGTAGGTGGGTGGTGGCAGCACCCATGGATGGGTGTTGGTTTTGGGTACCCCGATGATGCAGGGGCTGGGCGAAGCTCGTGTTCGGAGCTCGCTGCTCCGTGCCCCTTTGGAGGAGCGGTGGGGTTCCATGGAGAGGGACACGTTGGTGGGGACCGTCACCCCCGAGGTGGGGAGAGCGCTGGCCGAGCTGTCCTCATCCCTTCTCTCACCTAATCCTTGTTCCCTCTCTTTCCCTGTGCCTCCCAGCAGCGAGAAGGAGCAGTAAGTATCGCGCTCGCTTTTTTTTGCCTTATTGCTCTTCACCTGCTACTCTGACGGTCTTGGGAGAACAGGAAAGACCTTGCTGTGGATGCGAGAAAAAGATGATTAATTTTGGGAAGCACTGCACAGGGTTGTAAAGAATTTAAGGTTTAAGACCGTGCGAGTCTGCTCAGCCCAGGGGGAAAAGATCCAGGAAAGGTCTTTAGATGAGTGGAAAGATGAGGAGGGGAGAGGTGTTTGCCTTGCGCATCCTTCGTTAGCATTGCCCGTCTGCCGCCTGCTCATTTGCAAGGCTGAGTGGCAGACGTTACCGTGTCACCGGGTTAAAGCTGCCTGATGGCCACGCTGTGCCAAAGGCTCTTTGGAAATGATGTTAGGAGAGGAAAAACTCCCATGTTTGATGAAATGTACCCAAAAAACCACCCACTCCTGCAGTCATTGCCCCGGTACCGCAGCTCGCTGGCAAACCCGGTGTTAGGCAGCAGAGAGCAGGGCGCAAAAGGAACCGTGTCAGTTGATGCTTAACGTGGAAATAACGAGAATATATTTGAAAAGCAAATCTGTTTTCTCCATATGAAACAAGTGTTTCCATATGAATCCCCCCCAAAAATGGAAATAAGAGCTTTCACCTGGTGGGTGGGGACCATCTCTCTGCTAGACGAGAGCTTGGAGGCTGGGGAGGTAGCATACCCCTTCGTCCTGGGCTTGGGAATTAGCGCCTGGCTATTGCCCACGCAGACGTGTGGTTGCACGCACACACCCGTGCATGCACACGCACGATCTGTGAACACGGCCCTGGCCCCCCGCCTCCTCTCCCCACAGGCTCCCCTCCGGCTGGGCAGCGCGGGGTGGGCAGCCCGACCGGCAGCGTAAGGGCGAGGAGCTGACGGACGAGGAGAAGGAGATCATCAACCGAGTCATCGCCCGGGCTGAGAAGATGGAGGAGATGGAACAGGAGCGCATCGGGTAAGGCGATGGTTGTACCGACACCACCGCGCTGGCGGGGATGGGTGGGACCCCGCGCCTTACCGGTGTCCGTGGGGGAAAGCGCTGGCTTGGCTGCTTTCCGGGCCGGCAGCTACTGCACTGCAGTGTTTCTCCTGAAAGGGAGCCTGCGGGGGATCTTTTTGAGCTGGCGTTGGTCCTTGGCCAGGAGGAACCTGTAAGCAGGGGAGGGAGGGAGCTGCTCGGTGTGCCGCTGCCGCTCCCTGTGCCGCTGTGTTCTGGACCAAGAATTTATAGCCTCACTGATTTTTTTAATTTTATTTTTATTTTCTTCCTGCTCCCTGCGAGATGCAGAAGGGATCTTTAGTAACATCTCATTTCAGGGAGTGAAGATGCTGCTGCTTGCCCAAGTCTTGAGCCCGAGCACCCGTGAGTGCCGGCAAAGCCACAGCTGACCAAAAGGCGTTTTATCTTGTTTTGGGAACACGGATGGATCCATCACCCCCTCCAGTCGTGTGTCCCGGTGGTTAATCCCTCCTCCCACCCAGAAATGAGCTGCCTGCGATGCTGAATAGGTCTGAGTGATGCCCAGCCTCGGTGCTGGCCCTGCGCTGGGCCCAGCTCCTGGGGGGCCTGGCGCGCCCCCAACCACAGCCGTGGCGGGGTACCCACGATTGCGGGTGGGTGCTGGGGGCATCCCTGGTGCCGATGCACCTGGCGTGAAGCAGAGGGCAAGAAGTGCCCGTGTTTGCTTTTACTGCATCTCTACCTTGCCCGGGCAAAGGTACCAGGCAAAATAATGCTAATAATTCGGTATCGACTTGCTCTGCTGGGGCTGGTTTTCCAGAGGGGATGCCCATAATCCGGTTTGTCAGGCGTCATGCCTTTTTTCATTACAGAGGAGCGTTTTATTCTTGCTGAGCTTAAGCATCGACTGCTTTTTGGTTTGGTTTTGTTGTGTTTTTTTTACTCTCCTCTCCCTTGCAGGGCAAATACTCAGGCCCAGGCAGGGACTGTGCTCTCCGCCACCTGGGAGAACGTCAAAGCCCCTCTTGTAGCTCCGGGCCAGCTTTGCTCAGCAAACGGGGACATGGCCCGGCAAGGCAGGCGCTTGGTGAAACGCGGAGAGGATCTGCCTGCACCCCCAAAGCCTCGTGCCACAGCCGGAGCTTTAATCCATCAGCCCGGCTGCTTAATAACCCTTAAATATTGAATATGCATTTGCCATGTGGTCACGGGGTGCTCCAGCTGCAGCACGCAGTCTTCCTCGGTGGCTGCAGCCCGTGGCCTCCTACGTGGTGGATTTATTGACTTGGTTTTAGAAATATTTCGTTAGGGTCTGTGAATAGCTTGGGCAGGGATTGCCTCGACAGAGGCCGTGTGCTGGCCACGTGCCCCACGGGTTTGCTGCTCCCCTGGCCTCGGGGGGGTCCCCAGTTGGCATTGCCTCGCGTTACCACGTACAACGCTTTCCTCTCCCGGCTTTCTGGGAGAAACCAGGTGAAAGTAGCTATGAACGGTGGTGATTCATTCCCGAAAAGTGCTTACAAACTGTATTTTCCCCAGCTTCGCCCATTCGCAGCCCAGTAGGAATTCCTCTTAAATGTGATGCTCTTTGGCTTATGCTTAAATCAACTTGTAGGGGAGAGAGATGAGTTGGGGGTTGTTGTTGTTGTCATTTTGGGGGGTTT